GCTGATTTCCTTCTATCAGCTATATCCTCAAATCTGAACGGTAACACGCTCATGTCATTGTATCGTAGAATATAGATGACGAACAAACACACGACATATCTCATCAACCAAGTGTAGAAACAGAGTAATTTACACCAAAGATAATAACATTCAAATAGTAACTTGAAACGAGAAATGCCTTTATTCATGCAAGTCAATTTAACAATTACTCTCTCGTTTACACTTGGCTTATCCTCACTAAACTGACCATTGATATTCGTCTTTTCAAACGAACTGATACTAGCATAGTCATTGCACAAGATACTTGAGTTGATGGGCGTCTTTTTCATTGTGGATGACAGCACCAACGACGACTGATTGATATCAGTTGATGAAGTTAGCGGTGGATCAGAAGCTGTTGTTGCTCGGCTTTCAGAAATTTGTCTACATGCAAGAACACTACCACTGCTGTCTTTTACTATCAGCTCAGGTTTAGCAATAGAATCTGATGATAGGTGGGCTACATGCTGATCAATCACACTGACGGTCTCACAAGTATGCATGCCTTCTGCAACTGCACCTGCATTTATTTCTACTTCACGTTGTAGTTGTACAGAACCTTTAATTAACTTAGCAGTAGTAGGCATTCCCCTCATCTCATCATGATCAACGAAAGACAAATGTGCACTATCATTATCATTATCACAAATGTTCACTTTACCGTCAATTTCATCATTTTCAAACTCTTTAATAACAGAAGTAGACAATTTTGGTTCCTCCTCACAAATCCTAAAAGGCTTTATAACTTCACTCTGACTAGTAATACCTTGTAAACTTATGGAGTCAGAACTGCACTCTGAAGCAGTAACTCTATCCTGTGACACTCTATTCAACAATGGCTTACCAGTTGCAACTACAGACTTCTTGACCGCACCGTTATCGTCACACAGTTCGGAGTCAGGCCTTGATTTCACATTTAGCTTATCACTGAACTTGGTCACTGATTCACAGTTCACCTTTGTATGCACCTCTTGCAAACGTGTAAAACACAACCGTGTTTGTCTCGCAACTTGTAACCTATCTGTTGTGGACGTCCCACGAAACCTGTTACACACAGTAAGTTTATCTGTATTACTATACACCATAGAGCCTTCTCGATATCCACCTCTCTAAGACCCTTTCGTCATACATGATTGCGTTTTGCTCTCAGACTTCCCGTTCTAATGGTGGGATGCAATAAACTGGCAAACTTGCTCAATGTCTGATTGACACTATCTGTCACTAATCTCAGTATTTCGTCGAACCCTGCCTCTAAACCTTCATCCTCTATACGAGAGCTTATCTTCACCCATTTTCTTTGCATTCGAGTAGGCAGGCGTCTCGCTATTACCTCTAGAACGGAACTCGGGTTGAAGCCACTCATGCGATTCATCGAAATCAACGTATTCTCGTAGGTCATCAGATTATCCAGAAACTCAGTTGGTGCCATGGAGTCATCTAGTAATTGACCACCATTACCCTTAACAGCCTCGAATACGTTTTTTTACAATCTTCGAGGGTCTTCCGAGTCTTTGACACAGTATACTCATATCCTCAGATTATCCTTATTCAGGGAGCATCAACTTACAGCACTGTATAGCTCTTGAAGCATCTCCAGTGCAATACCTCATCAAATACATCAATTTCAATTCATCACTTAATAAAAAACTACTCAGCATGATTTCAATTTCCTTTACAAACTGTAAATAGTCAGCTGGGTTTCTGTCGAAACACCGAGGTTCAAATTTAAGCCTATTATCCCTAGACTGCGAAACATGAACAACAAACTCATCATGCTGAGCATCAAACACATCGTTACATGTAACAGACAAGTCAACATGACTTACTTTCCTGTTTGCTTCCGAGACGCCCTGTCCCTTCTTTGACCCAGGCATCATTGAACGTAACCGAAATTCCGGAAAGTTCCAGACAACGCTTGTTCAAAGAAGACTTGACCGGCACCAGGAAAGACGGACAGAGACTATCCAAACTGTCAGAAACTGTCTATCACGTCTTAAAAACCTGTAATGCCCAGCTCTTTCTACGATATTACTTCTGACGGTTTTTTATAGGTTCTTTCTGAACAGCGACCGATGAGACGATGACTGGCGGATTGATGACACTCGCGAAAAATATGGAGCAGTTGCGTTTGAGCAAACAGCCATGAATTGATCGTTCAATCTTCAACTGCCTTGACAATTGTATTGAAAAATTAGTCACGCTATCATTCTGTATATGGGGCTCTCGTCGAAATCTCTTGATAGCAGTGGCTTCTACGGAACGAAGTAGCCATGGTTTTCTTTTGGTATTGATTATTTTGAAGGCTTCGCTAATTTCTACTGTGTGTCATGTTTCAATCAAATGTCTGGCGATTGCACTGGATAACACTTTTCTTCCATCTGTACGCAGACTCTTAGGAATGTGCTCAGAAAATCTAGTAGATGCTCTCCCCTCAGTCCCCCCTACGTACTTGCTTCCGCAAGTGCAAATGAATTGGTAAATGCAGTTAGAGTTGACCTGAGTAGGGTATTCATCTACTTTTTACTGGGTTAACCAACACACAGTGTTGTGGAATAGGATCATTTTGGCGGCTGGAATTGTCCTTTTTAATGCTCCTGTGATTCTTTTCGTGTGTTCTTGTGGATAAGTCCTCTTCTTTGTACGCTAGGCAGATGAAAACTGGTTTTTTTAACGGTGTCAGGTTTCAGTTTATGTGCTTCTTCATTTCATACTGATGTTAATAACGATGTCAAGGAAATTTACCGTAGCGAGATAATTAATCTGCGGAACTCAGAATGCTTTTTTACGTATGTGATAATCCACTCGATTTCAACGCAAGCGGTATTAAAAGACGGACAGTAAGTTGAAGATTTGCTGATCAACTTAGTATTGGCCAATATAGCAGGTGCGTCGGTGGCACAGTGGTTAGGACTCTCGCCGACCATGCACATGGTCCGGGGTTCGATCTCCTGCCGACGCACACCCGATATCCATGGTCGGCCTGTAAAATTTGAGCTACCGATATCCATGCTGAAAATTCCATACTTGTACCAAAAATACAGTGTGGAATCAAGCTTTGATCAAAAATAAAAAATAAAATAAAAATTATTTATACGGCAGCTTGACCACGTGTTTCACAGTTGATAGCTGTCAAAAACCAAATAAGTCCAGAATATCAGTGTGAGAGAAATTAGTGCTTCTGATGTTATTGCACCGGTCTTCTGTCAGAAAAGCAAAACATTTTCAACTGTATCAAGTGGGTCTTCTCAATTTTACTGGTGTGATAGGGGAATAACTGGCCAGCAAATCGTTCAGCGTTCAATGTAGTAAATTAGCACTCGTACTTATACTGGAAGACTTACTTAGTTGACATATGATAAATGGTATGTAATTTGGTATTAGATGGTTGGAGGGGATTGGCAGGAAGTCTTGGACCTAGGTTTCGTACTGGTTGGAACTCATCAACGAGGCGTATCTGCAATCTGGAAAGAACTCATGTCCCTTCTGATATTCGAATCCGCGTCACCCACTGCAGCAGTCAGAGAATCTACCGCTGAGCTATTCAGGCTCCCGACCGACCTCTGTGAACTGTACTGGATATTTTAGATTGCACACTAGTCAGTAATTTGTGTAATGTGTCTAGTCCTATCTTCAGTGCAGGCTGACATCTATCAGTCATGCTATGTAACGTATGTAGTGTTATGTATGTAACTTTTTCCTGGAGTCTATCGTATCTTATCACATCAGCGCAGCCAGACCTTGAGTGTCTGATAAGGCTGTAATCAACGGCCATTAGTGCTTTTAATATTGATCAGTGATTTGCCATTCCATCTGAACCAACATCTCTTTTTAGCGCTAATTTTGCAGGGATTGGATGGTAAAAAGTCGTTCCAAATTTCAGACAGGCTTCAGACAGACGCAGAAATTTTGGAAGGCTGGGTGCACCTAGGTGGAATGTCCTCCAAGCTTTAGAAACACAAATAGTCCAACTATGCACTTCTACGACGCGGAGAATTATTCACTGCAAAGAAGCAGTAACCTATCCCGGTTAGTGTCACACTGCGACTTATATTTTGCTCTAAGAGGAAAACTGTTGTAAGTATGAGCTACTGAGGCATACGTCATAGTGCAGCCCACGTGTAGGCAGCTAGTTGCGTTCACACTCCAGACCCTTCTAAGATCGGAGAAAACTCATGTGCAACCTCTCTGCCAGCCGGCCGCCATCGTGCTAAATCACTGGCCAAGAAATAGTTGACAAAACAAGGAATGGACCTTTGAGGCAAGCTGTGTGTCTAAATGCTGCGGAAGCCGTCATTTCACACTTGGGTGCCACCAGGTATGTGACCGTTAAAAAAGACGAGGTCGACCTAGGGAAAGGTATACTACCAGTTAATTACTACTTGCTTTGCCGTGGAATCCACACAAAGCTACTCACTGGAGAATGGAGACTCTAGTATCCTGCCATTTACTTTGCGTTACACCTGGCCATTATGAAACTCCTGCTACTGTTGCTACTTCAGCTTCTGAGGCTGAATCGTACAGAGAAACATAGACTGTATGCAACGGATTGTCTCCTAGACCCACTTGAGATGCACATTTCAGATGTCGAACTCTTTGCTCAGCCAAAGGATACAGCTAAAGTGTGAAAGGACTGATTCCTGTTATAGCATCACAGCGGTCTTGGCACACTATATGTCAAATCATAAGGTCCCGTCAGGTCATTGGTGAGGCGAACTATGTAGGAGTTCATTAAAGTGCAGATAGTGTTATTCAGCTACCAGAAGGCAAGGCACAGTAAATAGTTTGGAAGTTTTTATGAGGTACTTAGGACTGAAACACAAGTATATTTAATTCAGTATCATCTCAGTTGACATGTAATATTATTCTAATAGGAGTAAATAAGTGTAATTTAATAGTTCATAAGCCTGGATATAAGGAAATGTTTGCTACAGATGAGATGACTATGTGGCATTTCAAAATATGTTATATGCACCATTTGGATTTGTTTAACTGCTTCTTTTTCCCGGCGTCACTGATTGAATTGATGACCAAAATATGTCAGCGACGGATCAGATTCGGGCTCTACTGGATGAATATATGGGCACAACTAGAGATGGTAAGTAAATTTTTATAAGGTACAACATAGTATGTATTGTAAAATGGCCCATGACTTATTGTGTCAGTAGATAAGGTTTTTTCATACATTTGGTTCCCTTGATAAATTTCGATAAACAAAGGAAGACGAAATTTGCAGTATAAATGATATCATTCTATTTCACAGGTTCTCATCAGCTGCAGACTGCCTGAAATTACAATGGCTTTATAGATGATAATAACACACTAATGTTTGAGTGGTAGTAGAGAAGAGATACTATAAAATTGACGCATCTAAATGAAAGCATTACAATTTCTTTTAGTTTTTTTTCCTATAGATGGACTTTTCTACCATGCCTTCGTTTGTTCTTTTTACATTTAATTTTCTGGATCCAAATGTAAAAAGAACAAACGAAGGCATGGTCGAAAAGTCCATCTATAGAAAAGAAACGTGGACTGGACAATATCTTCACTTTAACAGCTTTTGTCTTATTAGCTATAAACGTGGATTAGTGAGGACTTTGTACGACAGCCAGGAAGCTATGTTCACCAAACAGGGTGGAAGAAGAATTAGATTTCGTCGAGAAATGCCTAAGGGAAAATGGGGACCCTAAGGGATTTATACAGAAGTATAGCAGAGAAAAAGATAAGAAAGAAAAGCATCCAACTGTAGAAAAGGAAAAGTGCTTATTTGTCTACCATGCAAAGGAGATTCAGTGTCACAAAAGACTGAAAGGCTCAATAAATAGAAGCTTCCTGGCAGCAAAACTCAACAGTATCCAGCACCACTCCTTTAATCCACTCAAAACTGGATAAATACCCTGCTGATGTCACCAACTGCGTTTATGAATTCACGTGCACTTGTGGGAGCAAGTACACTGGAAAGATAGAAAGAAAGGCTTCTATCCGGTTTTCTGAACATATTCCCAAAACCCTGTGCCTAAAAGGAAACAGATATCCCCAGAGTGCAATTACCAGACACATTGTTGATACCGGACATCTCGTAGAGATTTCTAAGTCCTTCAAAATATTAAATAGACAAAGAACAGCAAATTTACTACGATTTGCCGAAGCAGTCGCAATCAAACGACTTGAACCAGACTTATGCATACAGAAAGAGAGTGTGATTAGCCTCTCAATCCCTTGGTAACAGAATTTTGATTAGTCATCTAATTCAGTGATCTCAAGTCACAGAACAAATCTTAATCTCATAAACTGTAACCGCTTTTGTTTCTTGAGTTGTTATGTGAACCTACATGCTAACACTTCTGTTTTCTGTCTTACCCCTCCCCCCCTTTTCAACTTTAAAAGCGTATAAATTGATGGTGAAGACGTGAACTAAAAAAATTGTTATGCTTTCATTTAGATGCGTCATTTTTATAGTATCTCTTCTCTACCACCACTCAAACATTAAAGTGTGTTATTATCTATAAAGCCATTGTAATTTCAGGTGGTCTGCAGATGATGAGAACTTGTGAAATAGAAAGATAGGGTTTTGTTGAGCTTTCCACTCAATTTGTCTCTTCATTATTTTTAAGGTGTTCATGAATGTGTTTGTGCGGTTGAATGTCAATTCATGTAAGTGAAGGGTCTGAGGGTTATTCGATGGTTTAGATCTGAAATGTAAATGCATTAATTTTTGCTATTCCATGAGCTTTGTTGACCGCATATACCGGTAACGCCTATTTAGGACAAGAACCAAGAATAGAGTTTGATAATCCTCGCGTCTGTAAAAGCTATCTACTGGATTGTTGTCCAAATGAAATCTTATCAGGAACGGTAGGTCTTCAATTAATCTAACTTTGTTTAGCGGATGGACTTGGGGAACTGTTTGTTCATACATGACCCAGCACACAAGGCAGATTATCGCAAGGAACCGGATACGAAGAAGTTTCAATATGAACTTGACGTAAGTTTGATCGATGAATAAACATTTTGTAAGGCGCTAGAACATTTGGAGGCCTTTATTCGGGATTGTGACCAACGCACTGAAGTAGCAAAGGCAAAACTACGTGAGACTCAGGAGGAATTAACAGATGAAGCTTCTCAAAAAGCTGAACACATAAACCAGTTAAGCGAGCAGATAGGAACAAAACTAGCTAAGGCTGAGCAGCTTGGCGCAGATGGTCACGTTGAAGAATCTTTGAAACTTATGAAAGAGGTTGAAGAGTTGAATCTTGAGAAAGCTAAAAGTGAGGCTGATCTGCGTACTGCCATACCCACAAGTACATATCAACAACAGAAACTCCGCGTATGCGAAGTTTGTTCGGCCTACCTTGGTGTACATGATAATGACCGTCGCCTAGCTGATCATTTTGGTGGAAAACTGCACTTGGGCTTTATAGAAATAAGGAAAAAATTAGATGAGTTAAGGCAGTACGTCAGCGAAAACCATATAGTACGCCGTCGCAGATTTGAAGGCTACAACCGCTCATTATTCGTAACAGTGGAAGAAAGACGTGACAAGGAACGTGATCGGGAGCGCGAGCGGGAAGTTGAGCGAAGTGAACGTCGTCAGAAGTCCCGAAGTCGTAGTCGATCAAGAAGTCGTTCGCGCAGTCGGAGACATAGTCGACATCGTAATGGCAAACATTCCCATAAAAGTAAAAAGCACCACCACCGCTCATCAAAGCGAAAAAGTGAAGACCGTCATTAAAACTTTAACCCTTGTATAATATTGACTTTGATTATTAACCTGTATCTATTCCTTTTTCTTTAAAGAATCGTTTCAGTAAAAACATATTCCTATGATCTATGCTTGGTTTTACTTCATAGTTTTAACATTGGATGAGATTGATTATTAGTAGCTCTCACTAATAAACTTATTACAATTGAGTGAACTCGAGGGTTTTGTAACTGTGGCCAAGAAAAGCGGTGATACTAGTGTAACTAAGTAATTTTAATTTTTAATTACAGCTTGATTCCACACTGTATATCTGGTACAAGTATGGAATTTTCAGCATGGATATCGGTAGCCCAAATTTTACAGGCCGACCATGGATATTGGGTATGCGTCGGCAGGGGATCGAACCTCGGACCATGTGCATGGTCGGCGAGAGTCCTAAGCACTGTGCCACCGACGCAGATGTCGTGCTCATTAGCGGTAGCACTGTGGAAAAGTCCGGTAATTAAGGTTATATGAACTAAGTGAATCATGAATAAATTCGTAGGCATCTCGCAGTCTGCAATCATATTGCGCCTGTAGCGTAGTGGTTTGATTCTGAATGCACCTATTCCATCCTCGAATGTCGTAAAGCTTTCGTATCTCAAATTTGCGACATGGGCGATTGTTTAATCAGACGTTTCACAGACTGAATTCTTAGTGGCTCCAGAACCCAAGACGTGTTAGAAGAATGCCGCAGTCCTTCTACAATGTCTAGAAGGTGTGTATTCTAAGTATGGAAGTTATAAGCATATCTGGAGACTACTTCTTACGGAAGAATTGTGATACCTGGGTCTTAATCTAAATGTGGAGTTCATTATTAATTCTGCACGCTATTCACTAGTGGCTTTTTCATCGTGTTGTTTCTGAAGTGTAGTACTCTATCCAGTCTTTTTAGTTTATATTTGAGCCCTGCCATGTATTTATGTTTAAAAGTCAGTCTATTCAGTTTGTCTGCATTAACTGGACTGTTTACATGCACTTGGATGTGAGCTACGTGATATGTATAGTGCTGTGAGTTAATAGGGTTGGGTGGAAACTCATTATCCACTGCTCGAGAACAAGGCATCTACAGTCAACTGACTTCATTTTCGGGTTTTCGCATAGTTCCCAACTAAGGCTCTTGAAAAATCTTCTGGAGTTGTCTACGGCTTAAGTTCAGTGAACTCACTGGTAAACTAGCCGAAGTGAATTCCTGTTTTCGCTGCTCTATCAATGTGTTGGCTTTTGCCTGTAGTTCCTAGTTTGTATGACATTAGACATAAATTATGTGTGAAGTCCAGGTCGCTTACAGTCCTTTACTGGTCCAATATATACCCAGTATCTCACTTCCCCCTGTTGCATGGTCCAGTCCACTACATTCAGGTCATCGGCTTTGTTGAGCTTTCCGTTGTGAGTCATTTGACATGTGTCATCATCATTTGGTTGTTTAATGTCGAGGCTCTCTCAAGGCAGTAATCGCGTCAGACTGTCCTTAACTCATACAGTAATTCCTCAGGTATTGCCCATCTTAGGAAACGGCATGTAACCTCAGAACGTGTTTCCTGGCTATTTCAAGTGGTGAGACTACAACTACGAGGGGTGACATCTACACCTTTCCTTATACTATGTTCAGAGTTTATTGTCATCTACAAAAATTTTGTCATAAAGATATCCCAGTGATGTGGGACAGTTAAGACTGAAATTGTGATTTAGGGACTTCATCTCAATTGGTAACGGGAATAGGTTATTGGAAATGCAGGTTGTGGGTTCCATTAACATAGCAAGTAGGTAAGTATCGAACACTCGGTTTTCTTTATGGCTTCTCGTCGTCAGTCGTTTTCCTCAGTCGAGTGGTTCCATGAACCCGTTTGTTAAATAATTGCAATGATTATACTTGGTCCATGGACGTTTTGACTGGCAAGAAAGACTTGGTGTCAGCAAATGAATCTGGAACACCTCATCTATTTAGATTCATTGTTCGGACAATATTGGCCAGAAGACGGCTCACCGCAGGCATTTTATAGCTGGTTAATATATGAATCTGGAGTTTTTAAAAGTACTTACGACTTACGTCTGCTACCAGGTTGCAACAAGCGCTATGAAAGTGCGAATTGCTGCTACATTTTCGAATACTGCTAAAAATTAGTCGCTGTCGCTTTATTCTCATGCGTGGATGGCGCTTTGTGGCGGTAGTTTGTACGGTGATGTCTCTTAGTAGTACGATTTATGTCCACCTGAGTCACCTCTCCTGAAAACACCCAATTCTTCTTACAAACAGTCGTTGTACAGCATGCTGCGCATATGCTTCATGTTCTATTGAAAATGGGAGTCTGTATGTACATTGCTAATGTTTCTTATTACAGTTCTCGTCTCCAGGTGAGGCAATTGTAAACACCCTATTACAGGACTCCGTTTTCAATTTAATTTGCGTCTTTTCGGAAAGTATCGAAAATGTGTTCACCTTGAGAGTCCTAGTACTCAGAAGCTGGCAGTTTTCATGTGACGACAAAAACAAGCCTAAAGTCAGAGACATGTCTGTTTGTCTCTTTTCGACATAGAACTTTGCACAAATGTGCGGAAGTTCAAGTCGCCACATTCCGTGTAGCACGCGAAGCAAGAGAAGAAAGTACAAGAAAAGCATAATAGAGACAGTGAGCAGAGGTGTGAGACAAAGGAATAGTAGTAACGAAGAACAAAACAGTTCCATTGGAAATCATAAATCACAAGGAGTGGATGCATCTGCGCCAGCCATTGAGGACGATTTTGGGCCATATCAACATTTGTCTCTAACCATTGGTTTTTACCATCCCGAGGACCCCAGCCAGGAAGTCTACACCTATCTACGTGGCTTAGACTAACTGTTGTGGATTTCATTGACTGGTGCCATGTTTTGGTTTGACCTCCGCTAGCTCTTTTCCAGCCTGGTCCTATATCAGCTAACATTGCCCATGTCGAGGAAGGCGATGACTTGGCATACGTAACATATGTCCTAACTGTCTCAGTCGATGTAACTTCACAACTTTGTCGATTGATTTCCCCTCCTTACCTAGCAGTCGACGCCTAAGCTCAATATTGCTCACCTTATTATACCACTTCACACGGGAAATAGAACACAGGCACCTATGATCAAAGACAGCTAATCTTTTCATGTCTTCCACTCTCAATGGCCACGCTTCACAGCCATAAGGGAGGACGGAGCGGACTGATGAGCAGTACACCCGCCCTTTGGTCGATAGTCGAATATCTCGTCTACGCCAGAGACGGCGTAAACTGGCAAATGCGAAACGAGCCCTCTGTATCCGTGCTGAGATTTCGTCAGAGATCAACCCGTTGGCTCTGGCTGATGGTACTTCCCAAATAAGTGAAGCGGTCAACGTGCTCTACCACTTCACTTCCTATTTTTAAACTAGGCGTCGATGTAGTCCAGTCCTGTAACATCATCTTGCATTTGGCGGGAGCGAATCGCATGCCAAACATTCGTAGATTGCAGCTCAAGGTGTTTAGAAGACTGCATTTTGTCAGCGTCTTCGCCTAGAAGGACTATATCGTCTGCATATTCCAAGTCAACGAGATTATTCCCTGGTAGCAAGTCAATCCCTGAGTCACTTAGGGTTAAGTCCATTAACACATCTATGATGAAGTTGAATAGAAATAGGCATCCTTGACGGACACCACTAGTCGTCAGATGACAGCTCGCCGTAAGCCCTCACCTGGCTGTATGAGTACGAGTAGAGTGCCTTAATCAGTGCAATATATTTTCTCGGAATTCCCTTTACAGCCAAGCATCTCCAGAGTAACTCTCGATCGACAGAGTCGAATGCTGCCTTTAGGTCAAGAAATATAATGACTGTTGGACGCCGGTAGGAATGCCTATGTTCTAGAATCTGTCGGAGGGTGATATGATCAATACACCCTCTTCCTGGTCTAAAGCCTGCCTGGCTCTCTCGTGTTTGTGCCTCCCGAGCACCACTCAGTCTACGCATGATTATTGAGCCTAAGACTTTAGATACTATATTAGTCAAGCTAATCCCTCTGTGATTATCACAGGAAGACTTGTCTCCCTTCTTGTATATGGGGATAATCAGTGACTTACACCAACCCGATGGGACTTCTTCTGATTCCCAGACGCTGCCTAGTACCTCAGTTAATGCAGACAGTAAGCTGTCTCCACCGTACTTAAATACCTCTGGAGTCATTCCATCAGGTCCCGCTGCTTTGCCTAGTTTCAGATTGGTGACAGCTTTAGTAACCTCAGTTAGGGATGGAGGACCTGTGTCTATATCCCATTCAGGGAGGTGTTGGATGCTCGGAAGGTTGAGCGTGGCTGTGGGCCAATTAAACTGCTCCTCATAATGCTCTTTCCAACGATCCAGTCGTCTATCCTGGGAGCTAATTATAGTGCCATTTTTTTCCGAGATTGTTTCACTAATGATTTGTCTTCTCCCACCCGTTTCCCTGATGAGTCTAAAGAGTTGCCTGGTGTTGCCTATCCTCGAAGCTTTCTCCATCTCTTTGGCTTTTGTCGCCCACCACTGTTCACGGTCCTTGCGGAGACTTTTCGTAAGTTTCCCTTTGTGCAGCTTTCGCTCCTCATTGAATTCGGAGCTCGCCGGAATAAGTCTTCTAGCATCTATCAGTTCGGATGAGGCGGTGGAGATCCAGTGGTTTTTACTCACCTTTGGGTTTACCTTATTCACAGCTTTTACAGCTGTATCTATGGCTGCCTGGATATTTTCCAAGCTTCTTCAGGGTGAGCACAGCTGTCGAACACAGATATGTGTTTAGCTAGTTCTTCCTCAAATACGGATTTAGTTTCCTGATCGAGCTGGGGACGTGATGGTTTTACCGCCAGCTGTTTCCTACGTCCGTTCAGTCGTAAGCACACCGAGCGCGGACCAGTGCATGGTCGGTATCTACACACGTGTTCCAGAAGGAGCGACAATCTCCTACCGACCCACGCCAACGATAGCTTATTGCTATGTGGTCTATTTGTGTCCAGCGTTGGTTTGATGAAGGGGGTCTCCAAGTCAAACAGTGTCTCTCCTTGTGTTTGAAGTTAGTGCTTACAAGAAACAAATGATTATCAGAGCAGAACTGTAGGAGACGGTCACCGTTGTCGGTTCGCTGGCACGGAACTCCATAGGTGCCACCGAC